AGTACAGTTCTTGGAGAGAAGGGAGGGTTGTACCAATGATTCGCTCAGCAGTCCGGACTACCCTCTGCTGAGGTCAGAGGTCAGATTTGGTAGCTGAGCTGAACCAGACAGTTATTGAAGTGCAGAGGACAGTTTCGCGGAGTAGCGAGTAGAACTGTTTCAGCAGCTCCTGTGGCAGGTTGAACTTCAATGTGAGTGTCCCACTTCAGGTCCTGAGAGATTGTGGTGCCCAGGAACCTGAATGACTCCACTGCAGTCACAGTGCTGTCCATGATGGTGAGTGGGGGGAGAGCAGGGGGGTTCCTCCTGAAGTCCACGATCATTCCCACAGTTTTGAGCGTGTTCAGCTCCAGGTTGTTAAGACTGCACCAGACCGCCAGCTCATTAACCTCCTGTCTGTAAGCAGGCTCGTCTCCGTCCTGGATGAGGCCGATGACTGTAGTGTCGTCTGTAAACTTCAGGAGCTTGACAGAGGATGTTGCAGGATGTAGTGCAGTCCCATGTTGACTGTATCATCCACAGACTTGTTTGTTCGGTAGGCAAACTGCAGGGGGTCAAGTAAGGGTCCAGTGATGTCCTTCAGATAAGCCAAAACCAATCTTTCAAATGATTTCATTCCACAGACCTGTTTGCTCTGTAGGCAAACTGAAGAGGATCCAGCAAGGGTCCAGTGATGTCCTTCAGGTGGGCCAGCACCAGTTTTTCAAAAGATTTCATGACCACAGACGTTAGAGCCACAGGTCTGTAGTCATTAAGTCCAGTAATGTTGGGTTTCTTTGGGACAGGGATGATGGTAGAGCATTTGAAGCATGAGGGGACTTCGCACAGCTCCAGTGATCTGTTAAAGATCTGTGTGAAGACGGGGGCCAGCTGGTCAGCACAGGTTTGCCCTGCTAATTACTTACAAAGCCTTGAATGGTTTAGCTCCTCAGTACTTGAGCATGCTCTTATCACATTAGAGTCTTATATAGTCTATTTGATAATACCTAGAATATCAAAATCAGCTGCAGGTGACAGATCCTTTTCCTATCTAGCACCCAGCACAATCAGTTTAAATCTAGATTAAAGTCCCTTCCTGACATACATATACGACTCTATCACATTTCTATAATTCAAATCTGTTAAATGATTGTTAGGCTGCATTAATTATCTAATCCAGAATCAGGAACAATGTACTTGTTACATCATGAGAAGAATGGCATCAACGCTAATATTAGTCCGTTTCATTCTTATTCCGAGGTCACTGTAGCCACCCAGATCCAGTCTGTATCCAGATCAGATGGTCACTGCAGTCACCCAGATCCAGTCCGTATCCAGTCCAGATGGTGGATCAGCACCTAGAGATGACCTCTACAGCCCTGAATATCAGTGGAGACCAGGACAACTAGATGAGCCCCAGAGACAGATCCTCTGCAAAGACCTCGTTGGCCATCGGCACAATTCCTCGGCAAAGGCTACGAGAACCATACAAGCCCTCTGCTCAATCTGACTTGTGTTGCAGCCTGGAATTAAAATACATCATGCTGGTTTGGTCTGGCCAGAGTAGAACTGGCCCCCTGGTTTCTCCAAAGTTTTTTTTTCTCTATTTCTGTCACTGAGGGAGTTTTGGTTCCTTGCCACTTTCACCTTTGGCTTGCTTAGTTGGGGAAACTTAATTTCTGGCAATATTGTTGACTTGATTGAACAGACACAATTGGAAGAGAGCTGAACTGAGTTGGACAATGACATCACTGAATCAATGATGAACTGACTTTAATTGAAACATTGGCTGTTAAATATTGTCTTTCTGCATTATCGACACACTATTTTCCTGTTGACACTGTTAAGCTGCTTTGACACAGTACTGTATTGTATATTGTGCTATATAAATAAAGGTGGCATGTCCAGACCTAAACCCTGATTGAAAAGTTTCTAGTAATCTGTCCATCTATAGAAAAGTGATTTTGAAGTTGGCCAACACCCCAAACACATAAGAACTTTAGCAAGGAATGACAGATTCGAAATAGGCCTAAATTGGACATATCAGCAGTATCACTCCCTGCCAATTTAAGAAGAAAAATCCCTGCATCGAGTGATGCACTGAAAATAGCAGTAATATAGCAAACAATAGTTGGCTATTGTTCTTCAGAACACTTCATCAGAACAGTAGGGGTAAGAAGTTCCAAGTTACAAGTAGTACAATTCGATTTAATTCAATTTAGACAAATGAAGCACATTATAACTTACCTGAAACAACAGTGTACCAGCTGAATGTCCAGCCTGTAGAGGAGCCGTTAACCTCACAGATCAGAGTAACAGGATCTCCTTCTCTCAACCATTTCTGTGGAGAAACTCTTACTTCTGCTTTGGGATCTAAAATGGAGAAATCGCTCTTTAATAGTGTAACCCTATATAAAAATCCTATGAGTAATAGGGTTAAAACATTTATTTTATTCTATTGTTTGTTTATCATTTGTTTGTGGATTGTCCATTCACTTCTAATTCGGGGATGATGTTTTAAAAGCTTTCTATACTGGTACGTTTCTACGTACGTATGTATCATTACGTAATGTAGCGTAAAAGTTTGTTAGAAATGCACATGTGAAAAACATGGTGTGTACGATCAAACATGTCTTATGTTTAGTGATTGGATGCTTAATAGCTTAAACCCGCCTCCCCAATAGGTGAATGTAACGCTATTGGGTAATGAAGAGGTCCGTCAGAGAGGAGGAGAAGAGAGTAGTGAGAAGTTTGTCGTGAGTGAAAAAACTGACGAAATGTGAGGAAAAATCTAGCGTAGCGTTAGTTCTGGCAGGTCACGTTAGTCAAGCTCGCATCAGCTGACTCTCAGCTGATCCCCATCAACCTATGGGAATACGACACCTATCTAAGCATTCATATATAAGGTCCCTCAGTATTATCAGCAGTTTTCGCATTGCTCAATAGCTAATTACCCTTCTCCATCCCCAACTCCTCCTCTGTCAGTCAGGATTCAGCCTTCTGATTCTTCTTTGAATCAGACTAATTCTAAAATGTGTACATAACATTATTGAACTTTAACGATATCTGCAATACATTTGTTGGTTCTGTTCTGTTTACCCTGGGGGGGTTATCGCTGCTCTCCCTGCTCTCATCCATGCTAGGCTGCATGGATGCGCAGGGAGTTCTTGCCCAGAACAGAACCATACCGCCAATCCAAACTGTATGCTAATTGTCAATCATCTTTGACGATAGTGGTCCTGACAGAAATGTGATTTTCGTTTGTTTAATTTTGTTTAAAACTGAGTATATTTGTTATTGGACTTATGAGATACAGTTAGCTCACAGTATGGGTTAACATTGAGTTTCTCTGAGTTATACTGAGTACTCGAGACATCGCTGCCTTTAACCGAGACAGCTCACACATTTCATCGCATATACTGAGGTGCGTGTTGAAACTGTTTCACACATTCGCTGCCGTTTTTGTTCTGTCGTGGGACGTTTCTTCGTGGGACATCGGAGACTGTGAAAAGCACTTTTGAAATCCGAAAGGCGAGCGAGTCTTCTGGCTCATCATCCGGATAGCGCACCCAGCCACCGGAAGCGTTGGGTGTTCCTCCGGCGACAAGGGACGATCTTTGCTTCCTAGGAGATTCATATTATTAAGTGCTCATACGGATAGCGATTGACAAAAGAACAAAGGTCCCGTCTTTTCTTTGTTTGTTTGCTCACTTGAGTGAAGCGGCCAGTTTAAGTTTTCAAGGCCTCACCGCACTCTAGCCACGACACAGGCCTGCAATGGGGGGTGTGAGTAATGTCGTGTGTGTGTGTGTGTGGGCCCACTGATATTACTGTTTAATTCTGTTGATACACTGGATGCTTAGAGTATATTTTCTGCAGAGTTAAGTTTGAGTTATTTGCTCATTTAAGGACTCTGTCATTAACCAAACATTTACTGTTTCATTTGCTAAACTGTGTGCACTGCCATAAGTGTAAAAGTTGTTGGGTGATACATATTTCAGGTATATTGTAACTCAGTAATTCCTCTAATTTGAGCATCTATTTGTTTAATTTTCATTATTTCAAATTACTATTTCATTAAATTACTCATCTTTATTTGTTAAATTTTCTCTTTATTTGTTTGTGAGTATTATTATATTTGGGGATACATCTTATTGAAGTAGGACCCAGATACAAAAGTAGGTTAAAAAGATCTTTATTCAGACAACAAACCTAGCAAGGGAAAAAAGGGTACAGTGTAGTCAGAGAGGGGGCCTTAATCCCACATCACAAGGCATTTAGTTTCTGAACCTGGTGCTGCTCCTTACAAAATTCTACTTCAGAAAGGTAGGGGGCGCTATAATAACATGTTACACATTCCAGGTTCGATACAAGTTAAGCTTAGTCAACAGCATAAAAAAGCAGACATCTGGGTTATGTTGAGGCACTTGTTAAACAATATGCATGTCAAAATAATTTTATGTGATAAAAAATGCTTACTAACCTCTTCTGTATAAAGTTATATCCAAATTTCACAAAATTTAGCAATTTTCTTTTCTTACTCCGTGGGCCTGCATGAAACGCGGTTCAAAGAGAAAGTAATAAAGCTTCGTTAAAGTGTAAATTGTAACTCAGGAATCCTTCTAATTTGAACATTTAAGTATTTTGTTTCATTTGTATTATCATTTCAAATTACTGTTTCATTAAATTACTTATCTTTATTTGTTAAATCCTATCTTTATTTGTTTGTGAGTATTATTATATTTGGGGATACATCTTATTGAAGTAGGACCCAGATACAAAAGTAGGTTAAAAAGATCTTTATTCAGACAACAAACCTAGCAAAGGGGAAAAAAAGGGTACAGTGTAGTCAGAGAGGGGGCCTTATTCAACATCACAAGGCATTTAGTTTCTGAACCTGGTGCTGCTCCTTACAAAATTCTACTTCAGAAAGGTAGGGGGCGCTACATTAAATTTGGTCTTAAAACAAGCTTTTCAAAAGAATTTGGTTTAACTGTATAAGTATGGAGTTGCTTTGCTTTTTTCTGAACTTATAATGAATTTTTATCTTTTATTATATGTTGCCTATGTTGTTACTGTTGTCATATTGTGTGTGATTTTAATTAAAAAACCCATTTTGGGTTCATGTAACCCAGCAGTAGGCCTATAGTAAATTTCAAACAATATTTGAATTAAATAAAACAGTCCACCATGTTTACTGACATATTACCTGATATATAATGTATGTATGACCTACTGTATAAACAATCGTTTCAGAGCAATTTGTTGAAGCTACTTACCCTGTAACTATATGGAATAAGGGGGGAACAAACACCGCTTTAATTTACAGCCCGCAAATGTTGTATTTACACTGTAACTACATGGAACAAAGGGGCGAACAAGCACCACTTTTAATTACAGCCCGAAAATGTTGTATTTACACTGTAACTACATGGAACAAAGGGGCGAACAAGCACCACTTTTAATTACAGCCCGAAAATGTTGTATTTACACTGTAACTACATGGAACAAAGGGGCGAACAAGCACCACTTTTAATTACAGCCCGAAAATGTTGTATTTACACTGTAACTACATGGAACAAAGGGGCGAACAAGCACCACTTTTAATTACAGCCCGAAAATGTTGTATTTACACTGTAACGAGTTATACTGAGTACTCGAGACATCGCTGCCTTTAATCGAGACAGCTCACACATTTAATCGCATATACTGAGGTGCGTGTTGAAACTGTTTCACACATTCGCTGCCGTTTGTGTTCTGTCATGTGACGTTTCTTCGTGGGACAGAGGAGACCGTGAAAAGCGCTTTTGAAATCCGAAAGGCGAGCGAGTCTTCTGGCTACGAGGGAGAGAGCGAAGGTCATCATCCGGATAGCGCACCCAGCCACCGGAAGCGTTGGGTGTTCCTCCGGCGACAAGGGACGATCTTTGCTTCCTAGGAGATTCATATTATTAAGTGCTCATACGGATAGCGATTGACAAAAGAACAAAGGTCCCGTCTTTTCTTTGTTTGTTTGCTCACTTGAGTGAAGCGGCCAGTTTAAGTTTTCAAGGCCTCACCGCACTCTAGCCACGACACAGGCCTGCAATGGGGGGTGTGAGTAATGTCGTGTGTGTGTGTGTGTGGGCCCACTGATATTACTGTTTAATTCTGTTGATACACTGGTTGCTTAGAGTATATTTTCTGCAGAGTTAAGTTTGAGTTATTTGCTCATTTAAGGATTCTGTCATAGTTGAAACTAACCAAACATTTACTGTTTCATTTGCTAAACTGTGTGCACTGCCATAAGTGTAAAAGTTGTTGGGTGATACATATTTCAGGTATATTGTAACTCAGTAATTCCTCTAATTTGAGCATCTATTTGTTTAATTTTCATTATTTCAAATTACTATTTCATTAAATTACTCATCTTTATTTGTTAAATTCTCTCTTTATTTGTTTGTGAGTATTATTATATTTGGGGATACATCTTATTGAAGTAGGACCCAGATACAAAAGTAGGTTAAAAAGATCTTTATTCAGACAACAAACCTAGCAAAGGGGAAAAAAAGGGTACAGTGTAGTCAGAGAGGGGGCCTTATTCAACATCACAAGGCATTTAGTTTCTGAACCTGGTGCTGCTCCTTACAAAATTCTACTTCAGAAAGGTAGGGGGCGCTATAATAACATGTTACACATTCCAGGTTCGATACAAGTTAAGCTTAGTCAACAGCATAAAAAAGCAGACATCTGGGTTATGTTGAGGCACTTGTTAAACAATATGCATGTCAAAATAATTTTATGTGATAAAAAATGCTTACTAACCTCTTCTGTATAAAGTTATATCCAAATTTCACAAAATTTAGCAATTTTCTTTTCTTACTCCGTGGGCCTGCATGAAACGCGGTTCAAAGAGAAAGTAATAAAGCTTCGTTAAAGTCTCTCATTTAACGATGCAGTCCATCTAGTCTCTTGAGTCCATGACCAAAAAAAAAAAAAAAACCAGTAAGCACTGCGTTGGCCATGGTGGGTTAGTGTTTACATCAGGTGTTCGTACAGAAGATATAGCCATGAGCTTACTGTACAAAGGGCTGTTTAAAAAGACTACTTTTTTGCTTTTGAAAAATGATACAAGTCTGTCAGCCAATGTTAAAGTGGTCATCGGATGCCCATTTTCCACAAGTTGATATGATTCTTTAGGGTCTTAATGAAAAGTCTATAACATACTTTGGTTAAAATTTCTCAATGGTAGTGTAAAAAACACCTTTTACCCTGTCAAAATAAGCTCTGTTTTCAGCAAGCTGTTCTAGTCCATGTTGCTTTAAATGATAATGAGCTCTGCTCGCCCCGCCCCTCTCTTCCGTGGGGTGACCAGCAGACTGTAAACTTCAGCCGCAAAACTTACTAACTAGCACATATTAGGAAAAGTGATTTGCAAAGATTCATAAAGAACCCTTATACTCACTTCTGTAGATGAAGCTGGATCATGAATGATTCGCGCGAACATAGACGCATTTAGGCAGATTGGGGATCGCGCATTCCCTTCAACTTCGAAAACAAACGTAATCCTCTGCATCTTCAGCGGCTCAGATCTCGGGAGTAAATGACGACTGCTATGTTCATTATTACATCCAATAGCAAAACACCTAAATCGCTTAATTGGAGATATCTTTTCTTCCCCTGAACCGGAGTCGACACAATGGCGGACAGCTCACAGCTCACTCAGGGCGGGTCTAAGGTAAGACGGCCATGTTAATCAACTATTGTGGGAGCGACCTGTGCAGAACTGCATCATTCTGACAGGAATCTCAGAACAGTCTGATTTGAGAAAGGGATTTTAAAATAGGGATTTAAAAAAAACCACTGGATGGATTTTTATCATTATAGGGTGGATGTGTACACACACTTCCAACACACATTTATGTTCAAACAACATGTAATGTGCATTTTGCATCCGATGACCCCTTTAACAAACCACCATAGATTCAAACAAACTGGTGAGGTAATGTTTAGTAAAATTGAGAACTTATGTCTAACTTCTATAGGCCTACTTATTAGAATTTTCGCTAGAACGGCCAAATGTAAACAAACATTCCCTTTCATGGGAACTTCGAACTGCGTCCTCTAGGGGTCGCTATGGGGAACACCTCGTCGTGACCCGTGTCTGAAGCATACATTGAAAAAACACCAAC